GGGGGGCGCGGCGGGGTTTTTTGGGCGCCCGGGAGTGGGGGGAAAGCAAAAACCAAAAAAAAGGGGGGGGGGGGGGGGGGGGGGGGGGGTGGGCCCTTCGCCGTTCCCGGAAGTTACTTACTTCTGGGTTCGCCGACCAACCGGTTCGCAGGGACCACCGCGAACCGGTTGAAACCCACCCCTGCCCTGCCCCCATCTATTCTCTGCCTCCCAAGTCCCAGCTGATCGGGAGGGAATGGAGATTTTACAGTATCCTTCCCCTGCCACACCTAACAAGTCACGCCCACCAAGCCACACCACGCCCACCAAGCCAGACCCACAGAACCAGTAGTAAAAAAATTCGAATCCCACCACTGATATATATGGCAATTCACCAAGCTAACATGGGCTCAACAGAACCTCCTTAGTGGACAATTAGACATTTCCTTTTCAGTTTGCAAGTGAAATGCCTCCATCTTACAAGACACAGCTTTTCTGTCTCAAGGCATTTTTCAACCACTAATGAACGTAGCCATCATAGCAGGCAGTGACACACAGAGACAAAACACATCGAAGAAGAATCTAAATTCCCTTTGGAATGGGATGAATGCAGCCCTGTCATTCTTTATAAAGATCCCGCAGATCAATGCAGAATTCTCATCTCCTATTTTTCTATATGATGTTCATAGAAAACAGGAGAGGGGCTTTTATATCAACAGGCCAATTTCAATGGTTACCAGGCATTTCATATCCCCTATCTGGACTTTAATATTAATAAATGCAGTAACAACACCAGCATTTGTGAGAAATGTAAAACTAACAAGTGCCTTCCACCAGCTTGATTCCTGTTCCTATTTACACTCTTTTAATGCTTCCAGTGAGGGAGTTGTTTTACCATTTTGCATCTTACAAGCTTCTTCTATGACCACACACAGACAGGCAGTTCAAACCAAGTCTTGAAAGCTTGGCCTTGGTTTTAATTAACCCAATTTCAAGGTGCTGTGTTCCTTGGCAGCAAATCTGCCAGCTGCGCTTAATGAGACTGAGAAGGGGCAGGAGCCAAGCCTTTATAGAAAAAAATTGCTGACCTCTGTTTTTTTTTGGCTTTGGCTGTTTCTCTTTTCCTCTCACATGCAGACCCATAAACTTCACTGTAAACATCGTAGGACAACCCCAGGGCTGCCTTAGTGTTTCCAATATTTTCTAGCTGCAATTGTACATTAACCTGTAACTACTAAATGTCTATAGAGATTCTCAGTCAGAGGTGGGTTCCTACCAGTTCGCACCAGTTTGGTAGAACTGGTTCGTCAAATCTACCGAACCGGTTAGAAGAGGTTCCACCAGTGGACCCGGAAAGCAGGCCACACCTACAGAAGAGGTTCCAAAAATTTTTGAAACCCACCACACCACACACACACTCATACAGAGAGAGAAAGAAAAAGTGAGAGATGAAAGAAAAAAAGGAAAAAGGGACAGATAGACAAAAGGAAGGAAAGAGAGAGAGAAAGAGAGAGAGAGAGAAAACACATGGCCGGCAAGCCACTCCCACCAGATCACATGGCTGGCAAGCCACTCCCACAAAGGAGGCCACACCCACAGAGTAGGTTCAAATTTTTTTTGAAACCCACCACTGTTCTCAGTCATCCAGGTGATGGTTGCCCCAAAGGTGCTTTTTCAAGAGGCAACTGGACTTTCTGGGGTTTTTCTTTGAAGACTTTCGCTTCTCATCCAAGAAGCTTCTTCAGCTAAAGAGCTGAAGAAGCTTCTTGGATGAGAAGTGAAACGTCTTCAAAGGAAAACCAGAAAGTCCAGTTGCCTCTTGAAAAAGCACCTTTGGGATAACCTGTAATTAATTCATCCAAGCATACTTCATCGTCTTTTCTGCCACTCAGAGAAGAATGAAAGGACACAGGTGAAAGCAAGTGAAGAGAGCTGAGGAAACCACTTTTCCCTGCCTTCTTGTTTTTATTTTTTTATAAAATTCACGTAGACATAAGTCTGAAGGTTTACTGCTTGTTTAAAAAGTTTTGAATGCTGCACTTCATAGCAAGGAGGCTCAGCGATTGTCCCCTAAATAGGGCTTACTCAACTTTGCCCACAATCCCCTCGGATTTGAATCCGATTTCTGGGTACCAAAGAAAAGCAAGGCTCTGCTTACATGTTTGTATTAGCTGTAGAGGTCAGCCATTCCCCAGCCAAGCCAATAATATCGAGCCCCGTGGAAAGCTGGTTGAAAAAGCGAGGGTGACCTAGAACAAAAAAACAAGAGCTGCTTAAATATCATAGTTATTGGTTCCTCCATATTTATATCCATTATAGAGAAAATAGAGATGGGAAGGGACAACCAATTCTATACATTTACCAGCAACGTTGTAGAGCAGGGATGTCAAACTCACTCCCATTGTGGGCCATATCAGTTTATTTGTTTGCCCTTGGGAGGCTGGAGTGGGCGTGGCCTGGTTGTCATGGGCAACTGTGTGGGCATGGCCAGGATGGGCTGGGTCCCTCGCCGTCTCCAGGACGGCCCCATGAGACAACTCTAGGCCTATCGCAGGCTGGATGCGGGCTGTGGCCTGTGTGTTTGACATGTCTGTTCTAGAGGAATTGTGAGTTCCGAAGGCACTCTTTCTTAATTTTATGAATAGGAAAAAATACAGTAGTTCTCAACTTACCACCATTCATTTAGCATACAATTATTCATTGCGCTTAACAACCATTGCAGGATCCCCATGGTCACATGATGAAAATTCAGGCGCTTGGCAACTGACCTGTACTGGCAATGGCCTGGAGCAGCTGAGAGTCTACTGGTACGGTGGCTTGTTTGGCCCATTCCCCGCCCACGCTCTATAGCTGTAGTTATGCCAAAAGACACAAAGCGCATGTGCGCACAGCGTGCAGTGCCTGTGTGAGCCCCAACAAGCAGCTGGTTGTAGCAGGGGCAGTGGATTGCGCATTCGTTCACAGCACACAGCCGGTGCATGCACGAACAGACCGTGATCAGTGTACCAGTAGCGACGGTAAGAACAACCCACCACTGCTGCAGTCGCGGTATCCCAGGGCCATGGGATTGTCATTTCTGATTTTCCCAGCTGCCTTCAACCAGCAAAGTCAACAAAGGAAGCTGAATTCACTTAACAATGTGTGTTTCACTTAACAACTGTAGTGATTCGTTTCACTGTGATCAAAGTTGTAAGATTGGATGTGACTCAATTAGTAAGCATCTTGCTTGGAAATTCGGGTCCCAAATACACCATTTCAGTGATTTACCAGAAAGTCCAGTTGCCTTTTGAAAGAAAAAAGCATCTTTGAGTGTTTCAGTGATTGCTTTGATAGTGATTTGCCCATTAAAGGCATAGCCCAATCTATATTTCCCTTGCCTGCTGCTAATGCTAGTCTTCCTCTTTGCCATTTGTAGATGCCAGAAACTGCCCTTAGTAGAAGATAGAAAAGAACATTTCCTTCCTTCCTTCCTTCCTTCCTTCCTTCCTTCCTT